ATGTGTGTGTGTGTGTGTGTGTGCGTGTGTGTGTGTGTGTTTGTGTATTGTATCTATTCAAATCGCGCAGAGCAGGGTACAAAGATGACGTATTTGACGGAGGTGTCATCCACCACACCAGTACACACAAAACAGAACAGCAGTTTGTTCTTACTACCAGGATAAACACATATACACGGGCAAAAGGGCATACCCAAGTGTAGTATATTCCTACTAAACGCATGCACACACCCGTACGGCCATCACGAGATACCGAAATATGTAGTATACACCTACTACATGCATGAACTCGCACATCCGGGCATCAAGGCACGTCCAAATATAGTATACACATATGTCACATACGAACGATGTACACACATACGCAGGCTCCTGGACTTACCCGAACACAGCATAGTCGAAGCCAGTGGTATTCATCACATCCACTACACCGACACCATTGTCGAGCGAAGACAACAAAGATGGGGCCAGGAAATCACCCGCCATTATTGTGACCGAGTTTTTATCTTTGAGTGTTCTAATTGTAGATAGAGGGATATGCGAAACTTGTAGTGAGAGGGTTGTACGCGCTGAGCGTGCTGGCTACATAAGGCTCGAAAGAAGTAGGAATTAGATTCACGACCATACTGGAAGCCCAGTTTTTCAAAAAAAAAAGTCCTAAAGAAAGTTAGAAATTTGAGAGGATAATCCTAGTATTGTTGAAGCGGTCGTTTTGTAGCCTAGGTAACAGATATAGAAGTGACGGAATTCTCACAACATGGTAGTGTCAGTGTGAGACAGGATTGACTATAAGGCAAGTGAAATGCATTATATAATGTTCGTATAAAACGGAGTCCTGTGTCAGTTACCACCAAACGTATTCGGGTAGCAACGGACTCCTAGAAGTGAACATTTACACACTGACAATATAAAGATGATACCTATCGCTATGTATATGTATACATATACCTACTTAACATTGATATGTTCACATAAGCAAAAAAGAAATCGTATACCTGTCAAACCAAATTTACACAATGGATG